GTCCACACGTTCCCAATCCGGCGGTTCCGTACCCAACCGTCCAAGTCTATTGGCTTCCGATATGGCACGGGAAATCGTCATTAGTCTCTTGACGCCCACATGGTCGAGAAGTGATTTCATTACCACCCACCTCCAGCACTTTCTTTGAATCGCCTGGCTGCCTGTGACCATCGCAAGCAGCGGGTGAGCACGTAGTTCGCCGCATCCCGCCTAACGTTGGTCAGTGGTGTTCCATGCGGATAGTAGCCGCCGATATGGTAGTGATCAACATGTCGGATACTTAAACGACAATGCCCAGGTGCTGTGGTGTAAGCGTCCTGGAGTGTGAAGCTGAACGGCCCCAAGTCAAACCATTGTTCAAACGTGTCTGCGTTGATTAGTACCACGCGAGCCCTTTCCCCTTTTCTCTGGTTCGCTTCTCGAATCGTTCCCAGGTTTCCCTCAAGCTCGCTTCGTTGTACGGTCCTGAGTATCCGAAGTCTGGGTAATGGTTCTCACCATCGGACCACACGTATTCAATCAGCATGTATTCGTCGCCGAGTGGCTCGACGCCCGGGTTGTCTCGATGCGCTCGTGCCGCCTCAGGTATCGCTACCTCACCAGCGAGGATGGTTCGTTGCTTGCGTTGTTGGTTGTATCCTGTCTCGTGGGTAATTGACGTCGCCACAATCTTACCCGCAGAGGCAGCTAACTCGATTCGGTGACGTTCGGGGCTGGCTTCCTGGAGCAAGGTCGCATTAGCTTGCTCGATGATCTTTTCCAGCGTCGGGTTCGATCGCAAGAGTCGGAACGCCGCCCGGCTCGTGCTCCGCTGTAAATCACCGCAGACCTTGCAACGCAGCAGCACGTAGGTACCCGTGCCTCGCTCAGCTTTCCAGGCACGTTTGCGGCACGTCTTGCAGTAGGGCAGCCCCTTTCTCGGCATCAGTCGCCCTCCATGAAAAAGATCAACGCCCGCATCCGTGTCACGTCGGGGTCACCCGAACCTTGGATGGTATCAACCTCATCCAGCAGTTCGCGGGCTTCGTTGTATTTCTCGTGGTGGATCAGTTGCGAGGCTTTATCCAACCGCTCGCCCACCTCTTTGATTCGCCCCAGATTGTCGAAGCCGTGGATCGTGAGAAGTTGGTTCATCAAGTCGGGTGGCTCATTGTCCTCGATTTCTAGGTAGATCAAACCCCTTGCGGCAACCACCATCGACGCCCAACCTGATCGCATACTATGGCAACGAACTGCCAGATTATCATCGGCGTACGCAACCAAGCCCCGAACCAATTGAACCAACGGCCTTTTCAACCCAGACGTTTCAATCTGGAACATGATTTTTCGGTGTACTTCGTTCATCACCTAATCCTCCAGCAAGGCTTGCCAACGTTTCGATAATCGATTGCGGTTTATTGGCCTACCTGTGTGGTCCCGTAGGTAGGTCCTTCCGTTGGGCATTTCGTACTCATAAAGAAAGTGCCCCATGTGCTCATCAACGGCCACGACTTGGCAATCCCGGGTACCTTGATTGATCACTTCCTGAAAGTAATCACCCACCTTCACGGGCAACCAACGTCGTCGAAACCATTGATAGTGCAAGAGAAAGTTGGTCAACTCCATTACGGCATCCCGACAGCATGCGCCGGCAGGGAAGGGGAGTTGCAATACCTCGCCTAGTTCATCTATATGGCAAGCCAATTCTTTGACGACTCGCCCCGTTTCGTTGCTCCAGGATACAAGTCTCCAAGGGTTCATCACTTAATCTCCCAAGCCGACTCGCTGTAGCCCGGTAATCGTTCGATTGCTGCTTGTGTTAGTTGCTCACAGTAGTTTTTCGCCTCACTTTCTGAGTACCATCGCGCTCCGCGAGCCTGATACTCATAGCATTGAATCGCCTTGAGCAAACCCACCATTGACGGCGGTTGCAAGGGCCGACGATACCGATAGTGATCGTAGTCGCCCGGCCCCATCGTATCCATATAGCGATCGGCGTAGCTGGCGTGGTTCGTTTTCAACAACTCCCGCCCAAATTTGTCGGGAGTGGTACAACTGAGTAATTGAAACTCTTCCCCGGCCCACACCAACGCATCGATATGCCGATCGCTGACGATAAACACACTCATCGCCTTCGCCTCCGTCTGAATCGTATTGGTTTCCGCTTCGCTTCCAACCATTCCGGATACGTCTTGGCCACGGCTCCCGAGTCGGGCAAATAGTACATATGGCAGTAGGTCGGTTGACAGTAGAATTTCGCGTCTTGGTTTCCAATCGTCTTGCGAATCAATTTCCCGTCCTTCCACATCCTCAGTAGCGTACGGTTTGCGTCAGGACAACGGTTTGGCCCGATGATGTAGACCACCAGTTGCAAGCCGAATCGTTCGTGGTAAGCCTCGTGGAACGTTTCATCAAACGTGCTGGCCGATCGGTTGCACGAAAGGTAGTCCAGTACCCAATCGCACTTCTCCGCGTAGCGAATCATGCTTTACCCTCGAATGGCTTCGGTGGCGATCCGTGCTGTGCTTCCCAGGTAAACACCGTCGAGCCAGTAGCCGCTTTTCGTATCGCCCCAACGATCCTCAGCCGTGGCGTACTCGCACCCGTAATCAAGTAGTTCGTCGTGATTCATCGCACACCCCGCATGGCCAAGTAATCATCTGCCGCTTGCAGCACGCTCCCCACACCATCAAACGATCCTTCAATAGGGAGTTCGTATCCATAGTTTTCCAGCGCTTCCTTTACCCCAAGACAATCCAGGGCCAGCTTCAATTTCATCAACACCCCGCCCAACTCGGTCCGCAGGTCTTTCACGAGGGCCGTTGTTTCTTGAGCGTTGAGCGCTTCGCACACCATCCCGGCGAGCATTCCCCGTTTGTCGCCCAACTCCGCTGCGAAGGCCGCAACGCAATCCCCCGTGTTCGTATCCATCACATGCAGGAAATCGTTGACTGTCTCGGTCAGTTCGTATCGCACGTCACCCCTCCAGGTACTTGGCGGCCATCGTCAGCGAGCGATTCAAACTTTCCACGTCTTGCTCGACCAGACCCAGGTAGTCATCGCCGAAGCAATCTTCTCGGCAAAGGGCGTCGGTTGCCTCGGGCGTATCCAGGATGGCCTGCATCCGGCTGGCCATGATCTTGCATTCCTCGTGCAGTTTTTCGACCAGTTGCACCACGTTGTGCCCATTGAGTTCCGAGACCAGCACCCGCGCCAGTCGCAGTTGCAGCGGGGTATCCAGTTCGGGGTCCAGTTCGGCCACGGTTCCGCGACCGTTCTCCGGAGTGATGCAACACGTCACTTGGTCATAAGCGTATTTGACGGGAATCGTATTCTCTGAATTCATGTCTAACCTCGAATCTGTGCGAGTAGTTGTTGAGCTTGCTTGACCAGTCCGTTACGACGTTCAAAATCCGATTCCGGCATCGACTTGCCATAGTGGCACATCACGGTATCGAGGGAGGCCGCTACTTCGTCCAGTAGTTTCACCAGCACTGGTGTGGCGGCAATTTGGTTGGCATTTGTGACCGTGACGTCTTCGTCATATTCTTCGTCGCCGGTCATGGGCACCGTGGCCACGACATCGTAGTTGTCCGTGTTTTCGTTTCGGATCAGAATTTCGTCGGGTTGTTGTTGGCAGTGCCAGCTACTTTTCCAGGTTTTGCTTTGATCCTCGCCCGTCTTCAATTCCAACTCGTGGGGCGAGACTTCACCGGTGGCGTTGTCCCGTTCCAGCCATTCGATCTGGACCCAAGGCTCATTCCACTCCCAGCGGAACCCCACCACGAGCACGTCGCCCTCAGCGTGCTTGGCCACAAAACCGTTGTTGTTGGCCTCACCCAATAGCTTCAAGATCGTTTTCGTTTGCATGGTTGCCTCTCCGGTGCTTTGCTTGTTGCTCTACTTCAAACATACAACAAAGCTAGTGAAATGCAAATCAGAAAATATAATTTACCGCTTCGCACAGATGTTCCGGTCGGATCGATTCCGCTTGAGATAGGGCGGCGATACTTCGCGCGACCGCGATAGCCTTGTCCCGTTGCTCGACGGTCAGACCATGTTCTGCGATGATCGTTCGTAACAACTCATCGGCGTACTGATCCAAACCCGGGCATTTGTCCTCCGCTGCTTCGAGTTGCTCTTGCAATTCCGCGAGCGAAGTCCCGGGCAGTTTCGATTGCATTTCCCTGGCCGGGACGGGCGGGCATTCGATTGTGATGTCGGCCTGTGGCCATTTCGCTTGGTGCCGTTCGATCTGCTTCGGCGTGCAATCACATGCGCGGCGGGGGTCATTCTTGAACCCGCAGGGGCACGCCCAGGATTCAAACGAATAGGCGTTCCCTAATTCCAAGCCAACGGCCCGGAGCATGGTCTTGCCGCATCCGGGCGGGCCGACATAGAGAATGGAGTGCCCACCCTTGGCGGCCACCAGGGTAGCCCGCTTGGCGGCCTCTTGTCCCTTGATGATGACGCACGAATCCGACGTTGCTTGCTCCGTCCGCCGTGCGATTTCCTTGGTTACGTCGTGAAGTAGTTCCGACAGTTTACCATCACTCAGCTTGATAACGTGGCTCATGGTTGGGTCCCTCGGTGTTCGTTGTGACACCTCAACCCTACCACAAAGCTAGTGAAATGCAAGCAGCTTGCAAAATTTCTCGAAGCCACGGAAGCGGCGATAGATACTGCCATCCCAATAGCGGCCCGAGATACCGCCTAGGCGTCCAACATGCAGACAGACGTGGCCACGGCCCGGGTAGAGCTTCACGAACACACGACCGCCCGCCAGGGGATGCAACTCGCCGATCATCCCGCCCGCAACTTGGTGCAGGGTGAGGATCGAATCCCACTGACGTTCGTTTGGAATGGTCTTGACGGTCATATCGGTTGTGAGGATGGTTGGGAGAACAGAGGTGAGAAGGGTCGTAACGGTCGGAAGGGTGGTGAGGGTGGTGCCCATTTAGGTAACCAGGCGGTAACGCACTGCGGTAACCGGCACTTAGGTGGCTGCGGTAACTTGAGCGTTACTCGCTGTCGTCGGCCTTGATCCGATCTTCAATCATCTTGAGGGTGACCTTCACCTCGGTGAGTTCGGCGTCGGTCATTTGCTTCAGTCTCTGACGATTGGCCCATTCCACCAGCCGATGGACCTCCAATATCAACTTCTTTCGGCGACTTAATGACCGGTGTTCTTCGGTCGTCAGTTCAATGTGAGCCGTATGCCAGCCAACGTTACCTATCCGAAATCCGTCTTTCTTACGGAACTTCCAACCGCCGATCACGATTTGCGTCTTCGTGACCCGATCGATCTTGTGGACCTCCACCGCCCCATAATTCAAAAAGACGGTCACTTCGTCCCCGGCCTGGAGTTGATCGAGTCCTTCACCAGCTTGTCTGACCATAAGTCCCTCGTTCTGAATCAAAGTCAACATCGATCTCATAAGTGCAATCACGTCCTCGCACCACGATGGTTTTCGCTACCCGTGAACGACTCGGAGTGTTTGGCGGTTTCTTGGGCTGTGGTTTGGGTTCTGGCTCTGGTTCGGATTCTTCAGACATGTGGAATTCTTCAGTAGAGTGAAACGGCCAGGTGCGTTCGTACCTCGCGACTTCGTAAGCGCAATCAGCCAGCGCCGCGCGTGGGCACATCCAAGCGCCGAAAGCCACCATCCAAGCGCCTCACCAGGACACGGTGAATCTCAGCCAACTCGTGGGTGCTTATTTGACGCAAAGCGCCTTGCCCAATGGCGTGTTGGATTGCTTTGATCATGGCTTCCCATCGCAGTAGGTTCTTGGTCGCTTCATTAGGAACCTTGAGCCAATCACCTTGGTCCCCAACCCCGTGGCCATCCCGACGCCGGAAGCGCCGACCGCCATCGGTTACGATCTGCGTCTTCGTTAATCGCTCGATCGTTTGAAGCTCTTTCCCGTGGTGTCTCCGATTGAGAATCACCACCTCATCACCGGGCTCCAGGTGGTGGAAGTCGGGCATGCTCTAACCCCAATCCTTGATACTGCGGTCAAGTGCGTTAGGCCCTTTCAAAGCGCGATCGCCGTACATTGCCTTGGCCCTCCGCTCATCCTCAGATAAGGACTCTTCTTCGCGGGCGTGGTCCGCCTTAGGTTTCTCGGGTTCCGGTGTCTTGGTCATTTCTTTTCTTTGCAAACTGTCTTGGAACTCTAGGGTGGTGCTTCTGATCCAGCGACGTAGTTCCATCCGTTGTTTCCAGTTCAGCCGCTCCCGCTGTACGATTGCCGCCAGGACGTCCTTGGAATTCGCACGGACAAGCTCGTATTCATGGCTGCCCCTCGGCATGGCGACCTTTCCGACCCGGCAACTACATACGGTTCGGTCATAGGCTTCCGTCCGCTCGTGATACTCCCAGGCGAGTCTTCGATAACGAACGCGGTCGGGGTCACGGTAGTTCATTTGCTCGGAAGCTACTTCGGACATTGTTGTGCGTACTCGAAGAGTTGGGCCAGGCGGGCTTGATTGTCGGGACTCATCGCTTTGATGGGCACATCGCGAATCTTCATCTCAGGATCGATGCTGGGCGGTATGCCGTATTCGCGGAGCGTTTGGATCAGCCCTTGCTCAAAGTCATTTAGCCCGGAGGCTTTGAACTCGGATTGCCAAGGCCGCAAGGGAATTAAGCCTTGCCAGATGTACTTGCTTCGCAGCACATTCAGACGATGGATTGCGGCGTGGCAGTCGGGATGAAGATTCGACGCATGTAATGTATGCGTTTCCAACGTACCTGTCACCCAGAGTGCTTGGAACAGGTCCCGCTTCAGTTCTTCGATGTTCATACTTTTCCGTTCAACCAGTCAATTAGTTGCTGCAACCGTTTGCGTTGGTGGTCTCCTAGTCCGCGAATCACGACGCCATTGATGCTGGTGTATTCGTCTATGGACACCACATAATTGGGGCTGTTGGCCAGTGCGGTCAGAACACCTTGCTCGAATTCATTCCCAGCACCTTGGCAAGCTCCGTCCTCGTAAGGCTCGAAGGGCGTGTAGTCCAAACCGACGGCGTACTTTTCCCGCAGCTTCTGTAGCTCACTCAGGGCATTGGACCAGCGAGTGACCTTTGGTCCCTCCCATCCAAGCGCCTCACGTTCACGGATGTCATAGACGGTGTCACCCAGCGGATGCACGTCGTCCATCTCGCCCACCGCTTTGAGAGCGGTGAACAGGTCCTGTTTCAGTTCGTCGGTCTCCAGGTGGTGGAAGTCAGGCACAGGTATCTTTCGCATAGAGGAACAGTTGTCTCAGTCGTTTACGACGGTCATCAGGAAGCGAGTCGATATCCACTTTCCAAACTGACTTGAGTTGTCCAAACTCATAGGCAACTCCCGACCGGATTACCTCTCTGAAATGATCCACAAGTTTAAGCTCGTAGCCACTCATTTGGGACGTTACCAGGACCAACTGGTAAGGGTTCAGTGGTAGTATCTGGTCTGCACCAGACTTGGGATGCTTCAAGCGCAAAGCGCGTAAGCGCTCAATCGCGTCACACCATTGCTGTTCCTTCGACATAGATACCAACACGTCGCCGCAGGAATCGATGCCATTACGAACGTGATCCAATTCGCATACTGCGTTCAGTTCGTCGAACGCATCAAGCGCGGCGAACAGGTCCTGCTTCAGTTCGTCAACGTTCACAGTTGTTTGTTTCTCCAGTCAATTAGTTGCTGAAATCGTTGCCGTTGTGCTTCGGATAGCTTTCGGCCCCGCATCCACCCTTGAGCCATTTTGAAATCAATATCGAGTAGATATTCCATCTTGATTTCACCGAGCGGTGTGTGGGTTAGCTCTCCAATCAACCCATCTTCGAAGTCATTCACATCGCGGATGTTGAAGGGCTGGCGATAAGGTTGGAACGGCGCGATACCCTCGGAAATTAGGGCTAGTCTCACCAGCCCCGTAGCCCATCGATCTTCGACATGATAGAAGGGCGAAGGGACGCCTTGAACTCCCTTGGGACCTCTAGGACCTCGCGTTCGAAAATGCTGTTGCTCCAACCTATCCAATCCTGCTTTCCAAGGATCAATGCTCATAAGGCACCCCTAGTTGCGTATTGAAGAAGCGTTGTTGTCTCAGCTTGTGCAGACCCATTAACCAACGATCCTGGTTGATACGGTCGATTCTATGGCCCGCCCGTTGAACAGCCATCTGGGTTGTCTCGTTCTCGATGTCCAGAGCGATGCGACCGTCGGGCAGCTTTGCTACGACCCAAGTCTCAGTGTACTTTTCGAGTAAGGCTCGCATCCGCTTCAGCGCTTGCTCCCACTGCTGATCGTCGATTCTACAACCGCCATACTGGTACAAGCTGCACAGCACTTCGTCCATGGGTACGCTTGCTTCCAGTAACCCGAAGATTTCCAGTGCTTCTTTCAGATCATTCATTAGTAGCCCATACCTAATTCTTGAGCTTGAGCGGTCAATTCGTCGAGAACTTGTTTGCGTTGTTGACTGAGCCGATACAGCCCAATCTGCCAACGATCAACTTCTGGACGTCGAATACGAATTGTCCTTGGGACGTGATGCCTGCTCAGTGACTCTCGCTTCAACCCACCTACGCTGAAACGCAAGCCTCCCGTACAAAGCCTCCCATCACCACCTTGCCAATTCGGTCGGTAAGGTCTCACCTGCAAGTGCGGGTAGGTCGTGACCAGTTTCAGGAACGCTTCGCAGTCACCCCACCACTCACCGTCATAAATGAAGCCCAACCGATTCAACGCCTCCGCACGACGGTCGACGTACTTGGAGACCAGCGGGAAGTGCGTTTCAAACTTTTTCATGGGTCACCGTGTTGAACCAACGATTGAAGCGGTTGAAGTCCTCCCGTATCCGCTGGAGTCGCAACAGAAACATTCCAGCCTTCCAGCGATCTCGGGTGTGGGGACTATATAGTTGTTCGAAGGCTACATCCTTGGCCTTCTTTCGTTGTACTCCCGTGACGTGGTGGTAAGGGACACCAAACATCTTGGCGGCCAGGCCCCGATAGAAATCGATCCTTTCGTTGGTCACGGGGTGGCGAGTCGCTGCAAACAATTGCATCTCCATGCCCGCGAAGTTCGCCTGCATCGCACAGTCTCGCGCGTCGTCTCTTGCACAAGAGCCTCGCGAATAAACCTCGCTGAAGGTAGCATTCTGCGATTGATCCCGCGTGGCCCAGCGGCCGATAATCTGGCAGTTCGCCCGACGCTGCGCCCGTAGCCGTTGGAGCCCTCTCGTCCAGGGATCAACGTGCGGATAGGGCTCGTAACCCGGGGTGAAGTCACCCGGCGTAGTAAACTTAGGACCGTTGTGACATGACATCGCATAGCCTTTGCATTGCTTCACCATACAGGGAGACCATCCGCTGGAGCTTCAAGCGACACATCCCATCTCGCCAACGATCTTCGCTACCCCTTCGTCGTGTTGCCTTCGGCTCGAACTGACGCAACACATTCTGGCACAATTCCCTCACGTAGGGCGGCGTCAAGTTCACCGCCCGGGCGAAACGCTCCACAGCCTGTGTGACGTCACGTTCCCGCTGCTCCCGCAGCCGCTGAAGCCCGTCCGCCCAAGCGTCACTCACCTTTTGAATCGGTAAGTTCAGCAGGTGTCTGGTTATGTATCGATCGGTTGGGTTTTCCAACTCTTCAACGAATTTCACTGTCTCATTCCGTGTTATTACCTGAAGCATGCTGAGGCTGCGCGATTTGACCTTAAAATAGGGTGGTCCGAGTACCGGAGGGCGGAAGGTTCCGTCATAAAGCATCCCGCCGTGTTCGATTACGTCGTGTCCTCGCTCCCACCCCAATTGGACACCATGCTTGCCGGCCAGTGAGATGAGCGATTCTGTGGCTCCCTCGGTAGCCCACCAATTACCTCTCTCATCACGGGTGAAACCCTGCGAAGTTAATAGCTGGGCGTAGCTGTCTGCATATCCGGTGATTAGTTGGTATTGCATGCCGGCTCGTCTTCTGCCCAAGGATCGTGTTTTGCCAGTTCGTTATCGACCCGCTCTTTCAACCGCGAGACCAATCTCTGAGAGTCGTCAGAATCCTCTAGCTTTAGGAAACCTGAATCACATTCGAAGCGGTCTTCTTCGCGGTAGATGTGCCAGAACAACAGGGTGTTCCCGGCCACAGATTTCATACGACTGACTTCGATCTCGTGCTCACGATAAACGGTCTTCATATCGCTCCAAGCCCCGCACCACAGACGACGCATTGTCGAAAGTCATACAGCCATCCCGGTGTATCCTTGATGATCGTGTGTGGACATTTTCCTTCAGCGTGCAACTTTCGACACTCCTCGATTTCTTCTTCCGTAGCCGGCCGAACGTTACTTATCAGGATGGTGTCACCACACTTTTGGATGACTTCTTCGTAAAAGTGTTCGGTCACAGGTTCCTCCACAGGATGAACGCCAGCATGGCCAGCATGCCGACGCAGTACCAAAACAGACGGTCGATATCCCATGGTCGGACTTCAGGCTCTCGCCAGCGAGGCCAAGTGATATCGACTTCAACCGTCTCGGGCTCCGGTTTCGGTGCGGGCTCCGGTTCCTCGATCCCTAGCGCGTCCCACCAGGCCAGAGGCGGGTCGGCCGGTTCCATCTTGCCGATCTCCACCGGGGTATACAGCCGCTCTTCCACTTGCTTTGGAGTCGGACCACCCCAACCCACGTACAACACGTTCGCGAAGCCGGGAGGGCATTCACCCGTTACGGCGTGGAAGCCGCCGTCATAGTCCTTGTAGTATTCAGTGCTCACGAGCAAATCTCACAGTCGGGGTTACCACAGCAGTAGTGACAACAGCCGCCGGCACCGGTTGGTTGACCACAACGTAAACACCGCTCGACGCTATCCTCAATCTTCGGAGGGTTCTCACGTTCCTCGATCCGGTGCAGTTCGATCCTTAATTCAGAGTCCATCGAGCAGTTGGGACACTGGCCGTAGTAGCGTGTCGCCTGGCACTTGGGACACTCGCTCGCAGGCTGCAACAAGTAGTCGTCGGTCATGGAAATGCGATCCTCTCAAAACTAAAGACGATCATGGTTAGGACCAGGGTCGAATAACCCAGAGCCACCAACAAGATGAAAGGACTCAGCCCATAGCGTCTAACGTGCCAACCCAATACAAGGACGGTCGGGAGTACGATCAGCACAAGGATGCTCGTCAACACTAGTAGGAAGTTCATTGCTTCAACACCATCAGGATTGGGTCATAATCATCCATGGCCACCGTCATCGTGGCCTCAGAGGGATGCGAGCTTATGAATCGCAGCATCTTGGTGGCTGCCTGCTCGGCTTCCCAGTACAGGAAATCGGGTGAGAGGTTCCATCGGTGTAGAGTTTCGTATTCGCTTTTGAAGTCTTCCAGACTGCCCTGGTAACCCCGCGAGAACCATCCCGGCTTCTGGTAGTTGGCATACTCTGCCCGCCAGACCTGTCCTCTTTTCTCCGCGATGATCTCCAGGCATCGTGTGCAGCAGGCGTGGATTTCGGAGCCCGGAAACTCCATGCTGGTACAACTCATGCCAACTTCTCCAATGCGTTTCGCACTTCGTTGAAGTCACTCATGGCAACCGTGATCGTCTTTGCGGTCGGATGGTTCTTCAAGAATTGCAGTAGGTTTTGGGCTTGGTTCGCGGCGGCCCAATACAGCATGCTCGCGCCAATATCACCGTTCACGTAGCACCGCTTCTTGTACTCTTTGAAGGACCCCTTGAAAGCTCCCAATCCGAACCAGCGAGGTTTCAAAGCCCGCTCGTAGCGTTCCTGCCAACTTTTGTTGCGATGTTCGTCGATCAGTTCTAGGCATTCTTCACAATCTCTCTTCACCTTGGAATAAGGCAGTTCCATGCTGGTGCAACTCATGCTTCACCCCTCAAAATCTTGGACAGGCACTTGGGGAATATGGTGACCATCCAATGGACACGTCGCACTATGCGCTTGCAGAACAGGTACATTTGCCCGGTTGCCGGAAGGGGCCACAAACAAGCGACGATAATCATCCACGCTTGCTGCATGTCTTCATCGCGGTACCGAATCTTGTACTCAGCCTCCCAGAAGATGATGAAGCCGACCACGATGTAAAACACCACACCGACCAAGAGAACGAAACTCATCCTCGCTTACCTCCCGACCTTCTTATGTAGAGCCTCAAAGTATTCTTTTCGCTTCACTTCAGCCTCTCTTCATGGTTGCGGTGGTGGTCCCAATCCGTTCTCCATCCAATCACCACACATGATGACTGAGATTAACGACCCGATAACGGCGAAGGTCGTGCTGATAGCAATCAAGATGTCAGCGCGTTCACCGCTCAGACCAAAGTGTTGGTGAATCCAAATGCCGATGAATCCAAACACGGTGGTAATCAGCACCGGGATTGGGAGGAAATAGTTACTGTCTTCGGGCCGATCTTTCATCCAATCTTCTCCACAAGTTCTTTGATACGTCCCATAAGAGTCTCGGTGGTTAGCGTCTCCCCACCGTTCTGGAGATCGATGATCGATTGGCACAGTTCGACGAACTCAGGGACTCTAGGTTTCAGAAGATTTATTCCCATGGGTGTGCCTTTGAAATCCAATTGCTGTTGAGCAATGACTTTGACCTCCGGAACGTATTCCACTCTGATCTCAAAGTCAGCCTTGATCTCTGACACCTGCTTCAGAATCAACCAGCAATAGAATGATTCGAGGTCGCCGTCTTCAACCTCCACGGTGATGACGTTGTTGTCCCGTACTTCAATCTCAATCCGCTTGATGTGGTTGGTCATCCGATCTGCTCTAGTCTGGCCTTGGCTTTCTTGTAGACCGGTCGGAAGAATTGCTTAGCGATCTCCGAGGTGATGTTCTCATATTGGTGGGTGAACATCTGACACACTTCCAACAATTCAGGTGCAGCAACGGCTACCTGTGTGGCGACATCTGTTAGCCTGTCGTCCACAAGTTTCACACCGTGTATCTCGGCGTTCGCAGCCTGTTGATCCTCCGGACCGTCAACGTCGGTTGCCGGGTTGTTTGGGTACCAGTGAGTAACTTTTGACACGGATGCTCGCTCGATAGTCACCCCATCCTCATTGAATGACATTGAGATTTGCAGGCTGTCGCCGCTCTCCAGTTGGATTGGCGGATCGAATTCAAGGTATTTCACTTCAGCTTCTCCACCAATTTCTTGGCTTGCTTGTAGGGGAATAGGAACGACAACTTAGGAACATCCAAATTCTCATAATGGTGGACGAACGCTTTACAGGCTTCCAGCAACTCGGGAGCGGCGGCCATCAGGTTGCCATTTTCTTTAGTCTCATTCCCTGTGTACGCGACCAGGCCAACTAATGACCCGTCGTTACCAAGGATCACGAAGTCGTCCTTCTCTCTAACGGTGAACTTCCAAGGCCCTGGCGTCGGAAGGTGCTGGTACGTGTAGTCCAGTTCGACTTCAATGGGCTCATCTGGGTTGGTAGTCCTAACAATTGGCGTCTTTGCTCCATCCCCATCGAACAAGTGTTCCTCGATCGACATTGATGCAACTTTCAACTCCCGCTTGACATGCCGACCGTTGTCGTCGGTGTACTCCATGCGAATCACATCGCCTGCCCGCAGGCACATCAGTTGCCCTATTGTGAGTTCACTCACTTCAGCTTCTCCAGGATTGATTTGGCTTCCAGGTACATGGGTACCCATGTAGAACTTGGCGATCGAACGGTCTCGTAGTGGTCAACAACCGATTTGCACAGTCCGAGCAACTGCGGAGCGGCGGCGATTAGCTTGGCTTGATCACGCTCGCACGCTTCGCAGATTTTCCCTCCGTCACAGATCACGCCACCACAGTCTGGGCAGAGCACAGGTTGACTGACACGGCACCGGCAGAACGGGATGCACTCTCCGCATGTCGGACAATCTGGTATGTCGTAGTCTTCAGCCACAGTTGTCTCCGCAGATGCAGTAGTCCCAATCCTGCCTACAGCCTGGGCAGGTGGACGGTTCCTTGATCTTGCCGAGTACCGACTGTTTCCACTCGGGCCACGTTCTCACGATCTCACTAGCCCATTCCAAGTGCTCATGGAACTTCTGGTCGTCGGTCGCACTTTCACTCATACGGCGGGCTCCATAATGGCCGGCACGACATGGAACTGTTTCAGTAGAATGGTTCGCATCAATAACGGGAATGGACCGGGTGTTGTGATGGACACATGGGAATCAAGCGAGTCACAAGTCTCAATGGCTCCCAAGCAGTTGTTGCCAACGGGCAGGTACAACCACAGCAGCAAGTCACTGAACTCGTGGCCCTCGGATAACTGTTCGTGGACCAGTTTCAGGGTCCATGAACCACAGACCATGATTCGACGGTAAAAGTCATCGCCAACCGACCGGGTTAGAAACTCCGATACTCGCTGACATCTATCCGAACCGAGTAGTGAGTATTGCGCCTCCCAACCGGCCGGCACATTGGGTCTGTCAAAGGCGACCTTATGGAATGCTCGTGGAACCACCAACAAGCACCGAAGCTCAGGGTGTTCCTCCAGCTTCCGCATGATGCTCCGCATCATCACACCTGGTGCCCCAAACCCCATCGGGTAGGCCAGGATGTTCAGCCGATGCTTACACAGTTCGTCGATTGCCTTTTCGTGATTTATCATGCTTTAATACTAGTCTATGCTAGTGAAATGGTCAAGCGTTTATTTCAGCAAACAATTGTGGATAACGAAGCCTCCGAGCTAGGCACTTCGCGATCTCGGGCCAGGGCAAACTTTTGGGCATTACTGGTCACGGGTAACGAAGCCTCCCGAGCTAGGCTCTTCCCGAAGATGTACTAGTCACTTGCGTCACGGGTAACGAAGCCTCCCGAGCTAGGCTCTTCGTCCACACGCATGGGCGATACCGGTCTGTCGCTGATGTCACGGGTAACGAAGCCTCCCGAGCTAGGCTCTTCACTGCTAGGTTGCCCATGCGGCCCTTACCTAGCTCCGTCACGGGTAACGAAGCCTCCCGAGCTAGGCTCTTCCGATCCGGCTTGCTGTGTTCGGGAGCGATCAACGCGCAGTCACGGGTAACGAAGCCTCCCGAGCTAGGCTCTTCACCCACACCTCAGTGCTCACCTGTCACGGGTAACGAAGCCTCCCGAGCTAGGCTCTTCGAAGACGTGCTTGTGACGTGCCAAGAGGTAAAGGGGTCACGGGTAACGAAGCCTCCCGAGCTAGGCTCTTCAGATGCAGAAAAGGTCGCTGGCCTTTGTGATGGGAAGTCACGGGTAACGAAGCCTCCCGAGCTAGGCTCTTCGAAGCGGCCGAGGCCATCGGGCAGCAAATCAACCTGTCACGGGTAACTAAGCCTCCCGAGCTAGGCATATCAGGCGGCAACTAGCTGCTCGCAACCGATCTTCTCTTCACTTGCCCTCAATACGTTTGTGGCTCCATTTTGGTCTCGATCACAGTTGTGGCCACAGTGTTTGCATTCATAGGTCATGGATGATCCGATGTTATTTGATCGTTCACACTTATTGCAGGTTTTCGTTGTACCCTTGGAATTCACTTTGATGTACTGCATTCCAGATTCACCGAGGAACTTTCTCAATTCAGAGATTGCAGCAATGTGGCGTTGGAATCGGGCTTGTTGTGCTTCTCCGTCGTCTTCCGTGTCGGGTCGTTTTGCGACGTCACGAAGATCGAAATCCTCTACACCCACGATCGCATATCTTCTGGAGAGCTTCTTAACCCAGCGTCGGTAAATCTCATTACGATGTTTGATCAGACTTTCACGCTCGTTAGACATCCATTCGAACAAATGCTTGTCTTGTTTCCTCCAGCCTTCCAGCAGCATGAAAATGAATTCATCACCTTCGAAGCGGTTCTGCCGCCATTGATGGATTACTTTTGCCAGTTTTCGAGGTGCCCGCCAAGTGTGGTAATGCTTCGTCGCTTCTTTCAGCCACTCGGGGGCGTGCTGTCGCAGCCATTTCACGCGATCTTTGGCCAAGTTGAATTGCCTGTCGATCAGTTCTTGAAGATGTTCGATCAGTTGGAATCGTTGAAGGACCGAATGGTCCAGAATCAATTCATCTTCAAAGCCATCTGAACCAACAGCAAAGGCAACACGCAAGCCACGATCGGTCATTCTCCAACCAACATCGATCCCGACTGTACCATCTGTAGCACAAGGCTTTGAACCCGCGTTGGTTACTACAAACTGGATGAACCACTTCGACTTTGTTCCCACCTTCCGACGAATCAAGTAAGACTGCTTGATTCGACAGTCGGCTGGTAATGGACGGTGAAAATGAACACGGAGGGCCGTCCAGACGGGTTTTCGTTGGTCACTCCCGATCCTGAATAGTAGGGTTGCCTTAACCTTCTTGGCGAATGGGTCATCAATCACCATCTGTAATTGGGTATTATTGCCGGCGACAAGTTCTTCTACTGACATTCCGCCTTGGATTTGGTTCCCGATCTTACCCTCGCCCAGGTAACCACGAAACTTTGGCGGCGCGCCTTGGCGACACTTCTTCATCCCCTCCAGGACTGGGAGATACATACCCCACCACTTTCCTTGGTAGGCCGCCTTGACTTGGTCAGTTGCTGTTTTACCGACTTCATCGTAGATGCTTTTCAGGTCTGCGGATTTCTTAGCTTCCTTGAGCACCGAGTAAAGATCAGACCTGATCTTCTTCAAGCGTTTGATCTCTTCTGAGGCTTTCGTCGATTGAATGCGCTTACGCAGCTTCTTCCTTTGGGTTTTCAGAAGCTCTTGCAAATCCTCGATCTTGCTAGTTGTCTTGTCGATCTCACTCTGGATGGATCGAATTTCTGGAAACTCTTCCATGATTCGCTTGTCGAGTTGTTCTCGCCGCGAGTGTTCGATCTCTACGAGCTTGTTACGCAGTTGGTTGCTCTCATACAGCAGGTCATTGATGCGATCCATATTGTTGATCGGTTCGAAACATGCGTATTCAAAGATGCGTGTACTCATCGTTGACCCTTCTATGCTCGTGAAATACTCAGAGGAAAAGAATAGCCCGGCTCTCATTGGCCGGGCGATTGGATCAGATCATTCCCAGACGCTTCATCACACCGTGGTAGCCTTTAGCCCTTAGCCAGTGTCGATTGGTACCCGTATTATTCGGGTTAAGTTGTCTGTAGTAGTTTCTTGGCATCAGATGAATGAAAAACTCTGGGTACATACATATCACCATCGCCAAACCAGTTCGTAGATTATCGATATCTGGCAGTGCGCCGTACATTTCAGTCAATGTCTCGGCTTCGGCGACACAGTTTTCCATATAATCTGTGTTTGGTTCCATCAGATCATTCCCAGTCGTTTCATCACACCGTGGTAGCCACGGGCTTCGAGCCAAGCTCGGTCTGGTATTTTCTTAAACACCAAACACCGGCGTATGTGAACAAAGGCTTCATGGTTTGCGAGAATTATTTGATTCATTCCCTCGGGCAGGGTAAACGGATGTGGCAACCTACCACCATTTTCGGCGGCCAGCTTCTCGGCCTCGGCAACCCACTCTTCTAATGTCTTGGTCTCTGGGTCCATCACACGTACCCCTTTCCAGGTGGTCTGCGCCTTCGTTTCTGTTTGGGTACCAGGTTGATTCGGTTCGATCGGCCTTCCATGAAGGCTTCCACGTCGGAGAGCTTGATTCGCCAGCGTGGTTTGATGGCCGAGTTACTGATGTTGTAGGCTTTCAGTTCGCCTCGGCGAATCCAGCCCATCACCTTGTAGACGCCAACACCTAGGTGTTCGGCGATGTCTTGTGGTCGGTAAGTGCGTTCAAGTGTCATACTTCAACACTACCACAAAGCTAGTGAAACGCCAGGAAATTTTAAGGATCAATTCGGTTTTTGAACGTGTCTTCGGGGTCGAACCCGTTCAATCGATCCAAAGCGTTTTGATAGAGGGTCTGGGAGCGGTAGTCCCGCACGCCCGCGGCCGACCAACCTATGATGAATCCGGCCACGAGCCCCAAACAGAGAGTGACTGCGATCAGTCTAAATTGTCCAGCACTGATTCCCATTTCGTGGCGATGGTCTTCAGTTGGCTGCGACCCGTGTCCTGAACCTTCTGTGTCTGTTCCCATTCGTAGACCTCGCGAATTGAGCCGATGGACTTCTCAATCAACTCTACGATATAGGAAGGCTCTAGTGCATCAAGCTCCCACGACTCAGAACCGTACTGACGCAGATAATCGTCAAATCTGGAATCCGTGACTTTGGCCGGGTTGGGTGGTGGTTGCAGGCGTTCGATCTGATCCATGTTCAGCGCGATGCGTTGGACTTCCACTTCATCTTCACAGAAAAGATTTAGTCGCTCGCGAATGTCCCGAGTCATGTCGATTCCGCTCGGGTCATGGTCGCCCAAATGGAAGATGATCGGACGTTGACCCCATTCATAGTAAGTCTGTATGCGGCGTCCAGCCCGCCACATTTCACTTTGTGATGTGTATCCACGACATGCAAAGTAGGGTACATCCAATCTACTGCATACGCCTTCGATGATACCGACCACGGCGTCCTTTTCCACCCAGACTTCGGGCCGATAGGTTTGATTGTCCCACCGACTGACCGTGTAGTAATCCGAATACACCTGGATGATTTCGTGTGGCGAATCCCAATGCACGTTTTCTTGCAAGTTGCGGGTACGATCCTGAATGGCCTCCCAGTCAACCAGCCCGGCTAATCGAGCGTCAGAAATCAATGACCCGAGACTCTTATAGGACTGTTCCGTGTTTGGAATCAAATCACGGGCCACGAACTTATAATAAAGTTGACGTAATGTTAGATCGAAGCCTTGTGCGGCATAGTCCTCGATTATGTCATTCGCTATGGCGATGATCTGTAAGGACGATTCTCGAAACCGCTTTGGCTTGTAGCAAATCTTCGGCATCACAGACCCTCCGGGTATTCGTCGTGAAATGCCGTAAGCGATTCGCTGTAGCCTTCCCAGTTATCCACACCACCGGCATGCAGACCGCTGATGTAGGTGTTCAGCTTGGCGACTTCCGCGCGGAGGCGATCGGTCTCTTCAGCTAGGTCGTGCCATTCCGGATATGCCGGATAGAGTTCGACGTACTCACCAGGTTCGATTCGAAATGGCTTACCCTCAGACATTTCGTCGAAGACCCGTGGTGTCACATCGATCACGCTTGCTTCCGGGGTAGCGTCTACTGAGTTGTAGACGCAGAGTTCATCGCAGACGGGAAACTCTACAATCAGCTTCATCGCAGGCATTAAGCTCCTGAAACGTTCTCGATAACATATTTCGCGAGGGGTGGCGTTACTGCATTCCCCAGCAAGTGAATCGCGTCCTTACGTGTGGCAGGTAGCTCATACTCGGGGAAGCCCATCGCCTGTCGGTATTCATCCACGGTGAGCATTCGCATGGCGTCACCGTCCACCACAGCCCAACGATCGCGAGTGGTCACGGTCCCGAGCGGCCGATCGAGCGAACGTCCCGTGAGTCCGGAACCCGAACCGTAGTAGGGCATGACGAACCGACGTCCGAATGACTTCCGCCCGGCCGCAACTCGCGCGAGCGTGGCTTCGGATCGGCCGGGCTTCTCGACCGGGCTCCACTTACCCGACTCGAAGTCAATGATCTCTTCGGCCGACTTCCATCGCCGACGGGGTGCCGGAAAGGCAACAGCACCCCGTCGGGAGGCTACGATGAAGAGACGCACGCGATTCTGAGGGACGCCAGCGTCCGCGGAGTCCAAGGTGTGGGTGGTCAGTGTGTAGCCCAAGGCTTCCATCGCCTGCGACCAAGCTGGGTACAAGCTCCACTGGAGGAACTCGGGCACGTTCTCCACGATCACGGCCTCAGGCCGGTGGTACTCGCAACACGACACCACGGCCCAGGCAGTTGATCGTGAGGCGTCGTGGTGCGGTCGATCTTTCCCGCGAGCCCGTGTGTGGCCTTGGCAACAGGGCGAGGCCAGTACCAGGTCGCACTCGGGAACCTTGGACCAATCCGCTTGATGCAAGTCCTGGCAGACGTGCTCCACGTCTCGGTGGTTGGCAGCGTGGGTCTCGACCGCCAGTGGCCAATGATTGGCCGCCCAGACGACTTCGACGCCGGCCGCTTCAGCACCGCAGGTGAATCCACCCGCACCGGCAAATAGGTCAATGGCTTTCATGTGCGTACCAACTTTGTTGCATGAACATGGTGGTTTACTTCGGCCCGCCCACACTCGTCGAAAACAAGTTCTTGTCGCAGTTCGGTAAACGGCGTACTTACAACCGATACCAATAACTGTCCTGGCACATAGAAAGGGACTTCCCCATAGACTGTGAACATGCCACCTGACTGGTATATGATTTCTGCGTTATCGGGTTCGACCCGGGTACCATCTAGCAGGAAGTAATGCTCGAAGATGACTCTGTGGATCATGCTTCAATCGAGTACACCAAGGGCACCCACTCCGTGAACGTAATGTCTTTCAATTCCAGTGTGTCTGGTTCGTTAGGGTCGGGGTCTCGGATGAATTCGCCGTCCCAAAACATCCAGTGGCCGGGAATGGCTACAAGTGCCGGCGCGCCTTTAATCGGCACTTCCAACATCATGGTGTCTTCCATACTGGAGCCAGCTACCCCATCTGTATCTTGGGCGAACTGACCACAGAAGATTCCGTGAGCACTTAGAAACTTCAAGATTTCGACAGTCGAGTAAACGATTTGTCTTCCATGCCTCACACCTTGCATGCGAGACTTTGCATATTGCAGCCCACGTCCGACGGCCATTGCCGCTACACAAGCTCCGCATGCACCAGAGCCATGAGGCTGCTTCACGGTTCTGAATTGTTTAGGCAACTGCACTTAGCCGCCTCTTGATGAATACGCCGTAGGGCTTGTTACCTTTTGAAACGTTACAGGACCTACAAGCAAGCACCATGTTGTCGCGCGTTGTCTTGCCGAATCTAAACAGTGGACGTTTGTGATCGAGGGTTGATGTTTCGAATGTGAGTGGCACAGCACAATAGTGGCAACGCCCGTCTTCTTCGACCATCTCACGACGCCAACGCCGCATTTTGCGTTTGTAGTTGTTCTTCTGTTTCTTGATGTGTTCTGCGAGTGTCACAGTCCGAGGTCCTCGATCATTCGCTGTGCCGTCGAGGCGACTTGAATCAGTTCGGCCCGCAACTTCTTCTTGGATCGCTTCTTCCGTTTCTTGCGAACTTCTTCCCACACTTCTTCGACTTCTTCCAGCAACACGGCCCAACCCTCATGGGCGCTGTTCATCGGTGCGTGGTCTTCGCGGGCCTGTGCTAATTCAGCCGCCACTTCCTGTTGAAACTTTGTGGGAAGGTCGAAGACGAATCGACCGTTTTCAATACTGTCGATGCAGCACTCGTCTTTGAGTAGGTCGTTCGATAACACAGGTGTCAGGTGCCGGGAGTTCTTGAATTGATTTTCGTTTTGGATGTAAACGTGAGTTTCTCCATCCAGCTTTTCGACGATCAGCTTCATTACATGTCCTCCAGGTGTTCAATATCACCAAGCCTGTCAGGCAATCGGACAGTGCTATTTGTGAATTGTCTCTTTGGCTGGATTCCGATAGATGCCAAAGTGGCAATAACAACTCTCATAGAGGTGTCTGTGAGTTTCAATTCACCGTTGCAGTAGAGACCATTCGTCAAGGGCGATTGTTGACATGTGACGATCACAATCTGGCTGGGATCGATCACAACAAGCGGCGTGACTTCCACTAAGTCCTGAAGGCCAGCCTTATTGATCTCATCCTCGGCCAGGAATCGACTGAAGAAGATTTTGGCTTGGTTGAAGAAACCCCAACACGCGATCGGCGAGGCTCCACGAACCATGAACGAGTTGGAGTTCTTGTGCTTGAGCGTGAACAGGTTCATCGTCGCTGCATCTCCCGTTCATCAATGTAGAACTGCAAACGATCGTGACCTGTTCTGTCGCCCAGGATTTCCATGATTTCGCTATGTTCGAACGGCCGGTATTCACCCAGCAGGCGACGGGCGTTATCGACTCCGATGTCCATCGCCCGGCGACTGGGGA